CTAATGTAAACCTTAAGAAATAGCTTGCAGTCGACCGTCACTTCCGACTGCTCAATTTTGTGTATGATCCAGGTATAATTTAAAGCGGTGCTTCTTTTTCTTGTTCAAGATATTTTCAGTAGCATCCAAGAAACTTATTAAAATGCACTTCTTATAAACATGTTGACTATCAATTGCCTGTAGCTAATGTAATAAGAAGATTAATAAATTTTAAAGCAATGGGATCGACATTTTAGGTGGCATAGTGGGAATGAAGCTCACAGTTATCCAAAGCTAGTTCTCACGGTCTCTCTTCTGACTAATTCTTTTCTCATAACTCACTGGTGATTATAGGAAAATTTTTGTATGAGGCCTTTTTTTTCAGTACTTGAAGCATCCTGAAATTTTCGCTCTTCGTATTCTCTGAAACATTAAATGGCATGTCTTCGTTTGACAGGTAAGACCTATGCGAATAAGTACTCTCGTAGGCAGTATAGATTTCATTGCGTTTTTGGTCTGGCACTCTTTCGATTAAGACTCACTAAATAATTAATATACAGGTAACGTTCATCCTATGGATTCGCTGACCTTTTTCTGAAACATAAAGATGCTGCTGTACTTTAACAAAGAAGTCTCGGTCTAAATTTCATCATAATTATTTAATCGATAATGTTTTTGCTTGTCGCACATAGCAACTCATATTTTCTTCACAATTTCAGGTAAGATCTTCTTCAGTCTGACGCAAAAAATCCAGCTACAGCTCAGTCGTAATAGTTATTCTTGGTTTGTGAGTCTTTATTGCTGTGTGTTTGTTTCGTATAAAAAAAAACTCACATTACTGTATATCAAAAACTATCTCGTAAAGTTCCGATGAAAATACTCTTTTCTCTTTGAACACAGTTTTTGGCATTCTTATCAGAATAGCGTTTAAGAATGCAACATACTCATTTCCACAAGCGTTTTTCATACAGAATAGAAATGTATAAAACTTAAAAGCTCTTGATTTCAAATCAGTGTATAAGGACAATTACAATCAAACTGACCAAAGTAGTTTGAATTAGTATCCCAGACAACAGATGTTCAACAACTCAAATCGAAACGGTACATTCTGCTAAATTTCGTGAAAGATGACTTACATTGAAATATATCAATTTCACTTGCATACATGCAGATAAGCTACACTACTGCTATTTTTAACACTTTTAAATATAGTACATTTCTTTGAAACTCAAAAGCTTCAAATTCATCCATCACTCTGAACAAGGGTGTGGGGTGTGTGAGTGTCGATGTCGAGTGTGCGGATGTATTGGTATGGATGCGAGTGGGGATGGGTGTGAATGTAGATGTAAGTTTTCTTTAACGTACCCACATCACACTTACTACACACCCACACCCAATCTGTATCCACTTTTTGTACCTAGCATGTTATTGAAATACACGAATAGAGTTAAGTTTATCTCTATAATAATTCGATAATGGAAAGCGTTCAAAGCATGTTGATAAACGCTCTGTTTCAGACTCGCCAAGATGAAGATGGACTCTAACATTATATCTTAATTGGAAATTTGAGCGTCTCTTTATAAAGGAAGTGCTGATTTGGAGAGTGCGGGTGTTAGTATGTGTCTCCGGGGAGGGTGTGGCATGAGCGGCGGAGCCATTAGGCTTGAAGAGGCTCAAATACTAAAAAATATTTTAAAGATATAATCGCAAGTTTACGTCTTATTAGCGAAAACTCTTTGAACAAAGGTTGTCTCGTGTTTTTTGGATGGTACACCCAGTCAAATGTTAGATAGTCCATGTGTATCACTATATTTGTGGTGCCTCTATGACTTTCGGATCACAAACATTTATCTCTGTTTCAGTTTTACAAAAAATTTTGAAGTAATAGATGAACATGAATCTTTTGGCAGACAAAATCTTTACTAAATAGGGTCGAAGCATGTCTTTCTTAAAAGAACAAGAAAAAAAATGAGTATAATCACTAATATTCACGTAGTTAGTGTGAATATGTTATCAACTAATTTAACTGACCGCATTAAAACTCCCTGTTTATAACACATAACGAACATACAGAATGTGCCAAAGGTTACTATTGAAAATACATGTAACTCCTGTAGCAATGAAGCTTAACACAAAACTTATTTTATTTGAAAGAAGAGACTAACATGTCTGTATTATTAAAGACCCGTTTCAACAACAATGTAGCAAAAGTGGAATTTGTGAATACAAAAAAGAATAAAATGAGGTTTTTCTCTATGTGGAAAACGATATGAAGCGTTTTTTCGATATCTATTAGAATTTCAATCGTTATTAGGAACTTCAAATCATTCAAATCTATCCTCATGACTTTACAAATACTCATCCTGATATATTCTCGAGAAAAAGGAGCAAGAAAGCCAATATTAATAATAACATGTGTTGTTAAATAGTCCAACGCACACTTTTCACGGTCTTAATGGTTTTCGAAGAGGCACGAACGACCTACCGAGGGAAAATGCATCAGTTATTGGTTCTTTTCAAAATGTGTCAGAAAATGGCTGTCAAGCAATACTGAAAGATCTAAATGATCTGAAGTGCACAATGACGAACAAATTTCTAGTAGATATAGAAAGTAACACTGTATTGTTTTTGACATAGAAAAAGCCTAATGTTTTTCTTTTTGTATCTACAAATCCTGCTTTTGCTACGTTGTTGATTAACTTGATCTTTAAGAACAAAGTGTTCCTAGGCTCCCATTTGAAATAAAAAATATTAGATTCAGCTTAAATAATAGTGCATTGAAATGCATTTAATAAGTTACAAGGACTTTTGGCACATTGTATTCGCTGATCACTTTTAGTCATATCGATATCCTTGATATGAAGGAAAATTAGTTTACATGGAATAGAAGAATAGCTGCAATGGTTCATTCAAAAAAAAACAGCATGAAATCATTTTCTGTCGTGAGAAGTGCTTTTAGCTCTGCCTTGCTATATTCACATTAGATTAGGTGTAAGATTTTTATGTACATGCTAATTATCCAATAGAAAAGTTAACGTTGCCGTAAAATTTTTCACTATGGTTCAAATTTTGACATGAATAAATCCAAAAATGCGTTTAAAATATAGCGAACATTATAAAAAGTAGAAAATAGTTCCTTTTTTGTTCCATCTCTCATCATTGCCTAGGAAAAAATTTTGAGCCTCTCCTAAGTTAAAATCGTTCCACCGCCCATGCACATCATCATTTATGATTTCATTCAGATACATCAGAGGGTATTAAGCGTAACCGATGGCATATTTAGTATATCATTGCAACCATCTTATTCTTGAGATAATTAAATGTTATTCAAAAAGAAAATAAAAAATCTTAAATTAAAAAAAAATGACTTAGCGGGAGTATATAGCAACTATAATAAATAAAAGTAGACGTGCTCAAACGAAAAGCGAAACAATTCTATTCTTAATCTAGAAATGAATATTCAAGAACGGATGTTGTTACCAACTGTTGTTGAATATAATTACAGCTTAGGCGAAGAGTTTTATTTTGTACATGATGCATTACTTCAGAAAGATACAAGAGTATACGTGAGTTCCACATTTTAGCTCCGAAGGAGCTGCGCTAACAAGCTTTTTTTAAAGATGTATCAGGTGGTTCTCTAAAGAATCAAATATTTTTATTAGCATAAATAATTTCCCTTGTTTTTGGACCATCGATACAATCGATTTGTCCATGACAAGCAACTTTCAAAAACAACATCCTGACGAATTTTTTTAACAGAACGTTTTAGTTCTGCGATTAGAGTCTTTTTCGACGTCACTTTATTCCATTTGATTGCTTGAACAAGTTCGTTCCGAACACAGTAGTCCAACGGATTTAAATCAGGGCTGTTTGGAGGCCAATGTTTCTCGTCGATGAACGAAGGAAATTTTTTGGCGCACCATTCTTGTGACTTTTCATGGGTGTACGGCTTTGCACCATCTTGCTGAAAGACCCAATTGTCGCCAAACACCTTGTTACCATACTTCAGAGCCACCGGCAACACCTCTTTGATATAGCGATCGTGATCGACTGTGCCATTCTCGAAAATAACTAAAGGTGACACACCTTTAGAACAAACTCCTAGCCAAACCATAACCTTTTGCAGAAATTTCCGTTTTTGCCTAATACCACCTTTGATATTGGCTTCTAAACGATGTACTGCCCATATTCGGTCATTCTGAGAATTATAGACTCCGTCTATGTCGAACATTTTCTCGTCAGAAAACAGAATTTTCATCGTGTCTTCTTTTCGGAAATTTGTTCGTATCCAATTTGCAAACTTCATTTTTTTTTCTTTATGCTCATCAGTGAGCAGTGGTTCAGCTTGCATTTTATAGGCTCGGAGTTGGAGATCATTCTTGAGCACTCTACGAACACTTGTTTGAGAAATGCCCAAGTCACGTGCTAGCTTACGAGCAGACACTTTCTTCAGTCGATTCGCTCTTTTCTTGATTTTTTGAATGGTTGCTTTCGTTCGAATCGTCCGTGGTCGACCGGTTGACCTTGACAGGTTGATCGAACCATTCTCACGGATCATTTTGCACCATCGTTCGATTGTTGCAAGACTAATGGCACCGTTCAGATCACGAAAGATCTTCGTAGGTCCATCACCATTTTCGTACTTTGAAAGTACGAGTTTCTGAAAGTCTTTAGTTTTCATAATCTGAAATAACAACAATTCATTCAAATCTGAAACTGAGATCATAGTTTAGTAAAGAATCACTTGATGCATCATTTAAAAAAAACAATTAAGCCTGATGAATAAAAACCAACAGAGATATTTGAAAAATACTGAGACCCTCATTCTTTATGGCGCACCCGTTACAACCGATATTCGGCAGACATCAAAAGAGACAGAGAATAGAATTGAACATCTTTTACGGTTACCATGGAAGAAACATAAAAAACATTCAAGAGACGACAATAGCCATCCGTCTTGTACTTCGTCAGTCAATACACATTTATCTGAGATCGATTTTCATAATAGTAAAATTACTGAAATGCATGCATCAAATAATGGACATGCTTTTACAAAAACGGATTGGGAACGAGTAGCTGCGATTGCCAATGGTAATGTCGACGTTAATTCAGTTGGACAATTTGGTGTTGGTTTCTTTTCGGTTTTTGCTTATTCAGATCAACCAATAATTACTTCAGGAAAAGAATATATGACATTCGTTTGGCGAGATGATCATACATTGATGACTTATCGTCGAGCATTGCCTGTCGAAGAGCGATCTCACTTGACTTCGATCATTCTTCAAATGCGAAGTCCATTAATAGTACAGATGAGTTCGAATCTAGATGGTAAACATAAAACGGAGTTATCTAAGACAAAGAAAACTAATTTACAGAAAAAAACAGTGTCAATACATAAAATCATTCCAAAACTTGATCTAGAATAATTGTAAATATTCTTTGCTAGAGGTAATGAATCGATTTTGCTTTTATCAGCTTGAAGTCAATAAAATTTTTTCCATCTATCTTTAGTTCTCTTGTTTACAAGACACATAAATGAACTTGTAATATCTGTCAATGGTGTGAATATATTTCAAGTGAACAAAACAAATTCTATCGAACCATTATTAAAAACATCGGTACAATTCAAACAATCATCTATGAATAAAATATTTCAATTCGGTTCATTTGATCACTCGAAACAAACTATTTCCATTGCTAACGGTACATCAATAACACTCGGTCATGTAACAGTTTAAAGCAAAGTAATCATTAGTGAAGATTTACATCAAATGATTCAACGCACTATTAAGAAGTGTCTACCATCTAAAGTGTTGATTTAACTTTTATATGCACCAGATACAGTAAGTAACTTGTTTCTTCGTGTCGAGAAAAAAAAAGAATATTCCATTTATACCATTGTGATAGTTAGTAAAAAACAATACAACAGTTTCATATATTTGATCATGATAATCAAATGGATGTCTCCACTCAAATTTTATATTCGTTAGTTGCACTAAAATTTGTCAAAGAGGGTGGTGAGGGTGTGGGTGTGGTTGTGGGGTGTAGGGTGTGATCGTCGGTCTTCTCTTCATACATACCCACAGGCACAACCGCATCCACCCACACCCACAACTACTCCCCCCACACACTCACACTCACACCCACACCCAACTTGAACATCGACTGGTGGAGATGGAGAAGACTGATATTCCATTTCTTCTTCCGCTGACATCATTTAGATTGGATCGTTTGAAAATTACAAAAGTATCAACAATACAAGTAAATGTTATGAAAGAAAAGAGAGAATGACAGAAATAAAAAAGATTTTTCTCGTTCTTTTATAGACTGGACTGAGCACGTTTTGTTTATCTGTATAATCTCTCAAGGTCGACCTAGAAGCTGTACGTTAGTTCAAATAAATGACATTGTTTATTCTAACGATATATTCCAACCGTTTGGAATTATAATTGCAGGCAGTGTTGCATAAAAGAACTAATCAATACTGAAATATATATATATATAAATTTTAAACTAGAACTACTCATCAAGACAAATATTAATCAAATGTTTCAAAATAAACATTCTTATTGAGTTTAGACAGTTGTTTGAAGATCTGTTATTCATTGTAACAAGAAGGGTTTAATGGATTGAAATCGTGAAAATTTCCAGAGAACTCAATCAGTTTCTATTGTTGTGAACAGTAAAAAACATGTTCTATATCTTCATCTATATGATCGATGCAAATTTTCAAACCTCTAGATCGATGGATATCATAATAGCAGCATATTTATTCCTTAAACATAGACCAATATAATTGATATAGTTGCATTAGACAGCAATTGGAGTTGAATATTCATCAGAAAGAAAAGTTATTTGTTAGTTTTTTTAGTTATTATATAATAACAAATAACAAAAAAGTTATTGTTATTAATTACAATAAATTCACACCCCTATGTGCGGATCGGGTGCGACTACGGCTGTCTTCCTTTTCTTCACATCCCACACCCACACCAACACCTCAAAAACGGCACACACAAACTTCAGAACAGTTCAGACAAATTCAAGACGATTGTCTTTGATATTTATTCAACGAAAAAAAAAGAGATTAAGCTTCCAGAAAAAAATTGAACTGAAAAAGGGTTAGTTTAATTGAATGGGAAGGTGACGATTGAAGTGTAAACCATGAATACAGGATTAGATTGCTAGTTAAAGATGTCTTGACGACCATAAATCATTTCTAATCATCACACCAGCATTTGCCACCCCATATTGAACAGTGTCCGCCTTTGGGGTTGCTATCTTTAATCCGGCAGACCGCATCGCAATGACTACTATACCAACATGGACCTCGAAAATGTCCTGATGGAAAGTCGCCCATAACCGTGACAGCTTTAGGAGAAGAAAAAAAAACAGTAATATGGATCATCCTACAGCTGGTCCACACAAAACGACATTTCGCTGATCAAGTTTTGTGGAAAAAAACGTTGTCGAATTTCAAAGAGTTGTTCACATCTTTGAATGCAGTTCTCAATTCTAAAAACCCGCTTGAAAACCATTTTTTGAGAAAATTGGTTTTTGAACCGAAAAACCGAGTTATATACATTTTTGAAACTGTATTTAAGATTTTCCTACCAACAGATTCTCTCATAATGAAATTCTAAAGATACCGTTTTCTATAGAATTGAATTCTCTATAAACTAGCATAGTTCGTTTTTCATTCCTGTCGCTCTGAAACGTTTGCACAGATTTGTACAGTTTTTGAGTTTTTCTGATGGGTCGGCGACCTAATTCTGTCAGAGATCGAACAGTTTTACTGAAAAGATGATCAGGTGTGAAGTTGAAGATTTTTTGACCACGATGAATACCTCAAGTATGATTTTGGCCACAATGGAAGAAAAAAGTAGTGACTCCGTTACGTTTTTGTGTTTGAATTTTTTACTGATTTGAGGCGGCTATTACGAAACTTATTTTATCAAAAGATAGCACATCGAATTCTATACAGATCTTCCTCGAAAAGGTTTTCATTTACTTCAGAAACATTGCAAAAAGTTTGAGTTTAACTAGCAATCATGTAAAAAAAAGGGCTACTGTATGTCACGCTGTTACGTGTGGACAAGCCAACTATATAATTGAAATTATTTAATCGTACTTACACAAAGCTAAAAACATGAATGCAATGAGAGCGAGACAGATTAAACGATTGTTTGTCATTGTTTGATTTTCAGTATGGTCAGTCGATTTGGTTCAGAGTGGTATGTTGAGAAGAATAAGAAGATTGTAAGAAACGAACGAATTGCCTTAGAACACAAAAACGTTTTGCCTTTTATACTATTTAGATAGCAGTAACTAACTACGCTGATAATGAAATTGCCTAATATTTGTCCCATTACACATAGTATGGCCAAAAAAAAATGGATAACTTCTGTTTTCGACTTCCTTCTTCCTTGATAACAACGTTTCCCTTAATCTGCTCGGAAGTTCTCCTTAGTTTGTGGGCTAAGGATTCACTGATAACAGCGGAACTGGGAATGCCATAGGTATTATAGCTAAAATAAGAGACATCTTCCCTGTTTACTTCCTTCTTAAGAGGCTCTAAACTCAAAGCGCAACGACATCTTGTGTGTGGTTTTTTACCTTCGCATTTAGCGTATAATAAATTCACTTCCTCGACGTCTAGATGAATGATTCAATTTGTCATCATGAATTAGAGACACCTAAGGAAGAACAGCATTTCTTCGTCAAATGAAAACACTGAGCCACCCGGAAGAAGGAAGTAAAAGGTTAAGCGACATCTGTTAGTCTGGCAATGACAGTTTTACTAATAGCTTATCATCAATCTACCGATTATGGAAGAGAACTTCCGGGTAAAAGATGGGAAAAAATAAATATAAGGTACTGTGACATTGTTTGGTACTATGGAAGAAGGAAGTAGAAAAGGGAAGTTAGCAATTTTTTTCGCCAGGGAAAAATACTAGAGAGCTTGATTATCAGCGTAGGTAGTTACTGCTATCTAAATAGTATAAAAGGCAAAACGTTTTTATGTTCTAAGGCAGTTCGTTCGTTTCTTACAATCTTCTTCCTCTCCTCAACGTATAATTCTGAACCAAATCGACTGGCCACACAAGAAAGTCAAACAATGACGAACAATCGTTTCATCTGTCTTGCTCTCATTGCATTCATGCTTCTAGCTTTGTGTAAGTACGATTAAATAATTTTAACTATATAGTGCACTGAATATTAAAAGCTTACCGTTTGTTTTTCTTTTCTCCTAAAGCTCCCACGGTTATCGGCGACTTTCCATCAGGACATTTTCGAGGTCCGTGTTGGCATAGTAGTCATTGCGATGCGGTCTGTCGGGCTCAAGATAGAAACTCCAACGGCGGACACTGTTCAAGATGGGGTGGCAAATGCTGGTGTGATCATTAGAAATGATTAATGGTCATCAAGACATCTTTAGCTGGCAATCTAATCCTGTGTTCATGGTTTACATTTCAATCGGCACCTCACCCTTGATTTAAAGTGACCATTTTTCATTTCAATTTTTTCTCCGAAGCTTAATCTCTTTTTTTCGTCTAATAAATACGCAAGACAATCGTCTTGCGTTTGTCTGAACTGTTGTAAAGTTAGTGTGTACAATGTTTTGCCTTTTCCTTCACTATTCTTAGATCGACAGGTGGCGATCACTCTAGAAAACTGAACCCTAAAATTAATTTTCTTATTCAGAACTGTCAGAGTGGGAATTAGAGTTGTCGAAAGACAAAAGATTGTAGAAATTTCTTTCGTGTATAACGAATCATTATCACTATACAATGGGCAATTAGGCAAACATTCAGTGGAAAAGCGAAAGTGAGATTTTCTCATAATTAAAATAGTGTCATATATATCCACTATGCAATGGTCAATTTACAGCTAAAAAAAATTTCACAAAGTACTTAAGGTGGCAGAGAAAAGTAATTCTTAACTTTTTGGTTATTTTTAATTAGGTTTTCCGAAAAAGATATTTCCTTTCTTGAGGGTGTGGGTGTGGACTGTGGGTGCCATTTCTAGTAATAGTAGCACGCACATCCACACTCTTTTCGTGCTTAATTTTCCTCGTGCTCAACTTTCCGGTTCTCCAATTTATTATTAGGATGCCATAATGAACATTGAGAGAATATTTATAGAAAGTTTTCCGACGATCGTTTTCAATATATTCAGCTTTAAAGTGTTTAGCTATACGATACTTAATAATTGAATTTATATTTCTATAGAAGAGATATTTTGAAAACGAGAGCAACACTACTCAACCATAGTGAATGTTTACTTCACAGTTTCGGATAAGTAGACAATTTTTATATTTTCTCTATAAGACAACGAATCAATTCTCTCTTCGCTACTGTCACACTCACTAAATAAGTATTCGAGAGAATAATTATTTATTTACATTAACCATACTTAACTTATCAGTTGTCGTTTATAAGTTCAAAACTATGATTTTAATAATCCTTATTAATCAAACAAATCTTCCATAAATAACATAGATCAATGACACATTGATCGGAAAAAATATTCGAGTAATGAATATGGAATTTTTAATTAATCTTTATTTTCCGTTCGTAACCAAAATAGGTGGGTGCGGCTGTGGGTCTGGCTATGAGTGGTACGAGTTTTAGCCTTGAACTCACTCACACACACACCAAACTACAGCTTCAGATAGAGCGAAAACCCTGATCATAGCTGATATAAATAATCCAAAAGTAAGTGCATTCTTTATTAGGAAAAGAATGCCGTCTTTGAAACTATGTCCTAAGAATTGGTACATCCTTACCTAATGTGAAAATGCTGATTGATCATTTCATCAGAAAGAATATTAATTTTAAAAATAATTTGAATCTTGAACATGAATATTTATAATATTCAATTGCTTATAATCAGCATACAATTCAAAGCAATAGCTACTTGTTTATTGTATTGTATTTTATTCAATAAGATGTCAGATTAAAAGGTGTTTCATAGTGCTAAAGTTTTTGATGTTAATAAAAGAGAAAAAGTAAAGTAAAATAAAAATCATCGACTTTTAAAATACAAATAGAAAATGTTTATTCAATGTCGAGTTTAAATATAATCTTATTTTTAGTCGATGAGAAAATCTTTTGGTTTATCAAGTAATGTCATAACTAAATGTTTCAAAGATAATGTTCGCTCGGCTATTTCTTTTGCACGTTCTAAATATTTTGTTGCATCGTCCATATTTCCTCGAGATGCATGAACAATTGCTAAATTATGCAATGTTCGAGCAATATTTGCATGATCAGCTGGTAATAATGCTTCTTGTAATTTCAATGCCAATTCATATTCTTGAAGCGCGATTTCATAATTTCCAGTTGCCAAATGAATATTACCTTCATTAGCTCTTTGTAATGCTCGATTTGGATGATCTGATGGAAGAGAACTATCATAAATTTTCTTTGCTTCTTGATATTTATTCAATGCTTGTGTAAACTAAATCGAAAATCTTAATAAAAAAAAACCTATTTTTTTTTGCAAAAATATTCTCTTACATTTTGTCGATCACAATCAATAGTACCCAAATTAATTAATGTTCCAGCAATCTCGACATGTTTTTTTCGAATACTTTTTTTATATAGTTTCATAGGTTGTTGAAAATATTCTTCAGCTTTCGTTTGTTGTCCCAATTCACTATAAACAATTCCAAGACCATTTAAATCACCTTTAAATCGATGTATACGACCAAAATTAAAAAATATGCAAGCAATATCTTCATCATTTAGATTTGATGAATTAAGAACTGTGTCAAAATATCGTTCGACTTTAGTATATTCACCCACTTCAAGAAGTAAATCACCAAAGAGTAATGTTGGATTTGATTTAATCATCTTTTGTTTTTGCTATTCAATATATTCAGCATCTAAATCAGCGCCTTGATCAGTTGCATGAAGTTTAATATACCATAGCTCATCTGCCCGTATTGTATTCACATGAATCAATTTGAAATGATGCTCCTACAAATGTAAGTAAGAATAGATGAGTAAAAAACAAAACAGTCTCTGGTTACAAGAAGATCTTTCATAAATGAACAATTTCTGAAAAGATATTCTTAAATAGACCATTAGTTGAAAACGTGTTTGACTAAAACCATCAAATGTTTTACATACCATAGCTCGAAAAATATTAGTATTATTTAGATGTAAACACTTTTATTGATGCATTGCAAGGAGAAGTTTTTTTTTAAATCCTAGGCATGTTGTATTCTAGATAATAGAAAAAATACCAAAAAAAGTGACGTACCAGTAGGGATACATGTTACGTATATTATTTTTGCTGCTGTTAATAACAAACTATTCAATAATTCATCAAAATCAATTAGCTTATTTGTATAGGGAGGAATTACTCAGAAATTTTACAATAGACCGACAAAAAACGTACCAGTAGTAAATGCAACTATTGCTCTTGCGTGTATTCCTCTTCAACTGCTTATTGGCTAAGTCAAATAATTATCGAGTCCAACACTTTTTGAACTCGAACTAATTGATTAATATTCTATTCGTACTGGAATTTCATAATTCGAATCGTAGTAAAATTATTCACCGTTGTATCAAATATTTCGTTCAATCAAGATCAATGTCTAAACCCAATGAGTTCTATTGCTCATTCACTATATACGCTTCGCTCTTGGTGTGAAAATGATTGTCTATTTACGCCATCTTGAAAAGTTTCAACGTTTTTTCAAAAAACGTTGAACAATAAACACAAAAAACAAACTTTAAATTTACATATTCTTAATCTATTTCGATTGATCGATAAATAAAAATGCTTATTTTGTTTTTTCTCTGACCGATATCAACGATAACTTCAGCTTCTTCAGGAAATGCTGAATATTCATGAATAACAGCGAGAACAATATTCTGAACAACATCTAAATCTACTATATATTCGAATACAGCACCTTCAAAACCTTCTCGTTTAGGAGATTTTGTTGCAAAACCGTAAGCAACTGAATATTCGCCACTGGTTGATAAATATCCACTGCATGATATTAAATTTCCAATACTATTTTGAAAATTAGCCAACTCGTCTGAACTTAATTTTGCAGCACGGTAAAGTTTTAAAATATCTTTTTGTTCTTCTTTCAATTCTTTAAATTTTAATTCAAGTTGTTCACTGAAATCCTTAATATAAAAACGAAGTTGATATATAAGATAGATATCTTGCGTTCGAAGAGTTTTATTAATAAATCTAAAAAATTTCAATGTTTTTTGTGTTTGTTGCTTTTTTTTCATTTTTAACTTACTTGTAAAGAAATGTTTCTTTCATATACCATGGTATAGCATCAAATTATTTATATGTTCGATCAAAGTCATCGATATTTTTTAATTCAGTTAAATTTTCCTGATAATAGTTTCGACATACTATTATCATTGTCTTTTTCGCTTCATATGTGTTCGGCATATCTTTTAAAAGAAGTTTAAATAATTGAAAAAATACAAATGAACCTTGCTCTTTTGAAAGATCATATGTTGCTTTTTCTTCTTTATTGAACATACGAAATGCATCTATTTGATTTCACCAATAAAAGGCTGAAAATATATTTGAATATGTCAAAAAAGGAATATTTTATATAAGCTTACTTGAGTATCTTTATACGATACACTGAGAATATCAATCAAATGTTGTTTTGGTGTTGCCGATGCAAAATACACTAATTTTATTTCATCATCATGTATCACTTCTTCTTCATCATGACTTGTTTTTGTTATTTTTTCTTCTGCCTGTCGTCTATCATCATCATCACCATCTAAATCTTCTGTTGTATTTTTTGGTCAGATTTTTTAAACATTTTCCTTAAGCCACTTAAGAAGCGGCATGTTGAAAAATAGTATAACTGTAAATGAATGCTGAAAATTTGCGTCGATTCAATTATGGTTAAATATAAAATAAATGTTTGCTTGATACTCTCGATTGATTACAATAATTGCAAAAGAGAAAAAAATATCATCTTTCTACAGAATATGATGAATAATATTTGATTTGGCAAGACCAATTGCAAAAGGATATGAGCAAAATTTTTTCTTGAATGCAAGTCGCATCATTTTATGAAATTAGACAAGTTTGCGACAAAAAATCTTTGCTAATTTATCTATAAATGATTAACCGATTGAAGCTATGTTATATGTGAGAGAGAAATATTCGATGTTACTTTTTTTTTGTAATTTATAGATGCGGGAGATTAAAGAATATATTTTCTTCGATATTGAATTTATTCTACGTTTACAATTTTAAATCAATATTGATACAAAAAAACAAATATATTAAATTCTAGACTAAATCTGAAACAATTATGTACTTTATCTATTTCTTATATTAGATATCGATCTCTGTTGGAAATACCATTTCTATTATTGTGTCTTATTTTTATTCATCATACTAAATAGTAATACGCAGATCAAACTAAATCATGTTATTGATGACGTACTTTCGCAATGTGATTGATGAAAAAAAAAACAACTTTTAACGAAGCCTCTCTTTTCTCCGTTTCGAATTGTGTCGTCTAGCATAAAACAAATTGCATCGCAATATATTCATAATGTAAATGGATCCAATATTGACAATATGGGTATATGAAAGATGTCCACGGATCGAAATATCAGATTTCGAAGCAATACAAATTCTGCCAACCACAACCAAACCCACACCCTGATGAGTTTTATTACTTTTCTTAGTGTTAAAAATCACTAGAAAACTGTTCTCATACTATGGTACATTCTAGTGGATTTCTTTAGATGTTTGTGAACTTTGTTGACATCGGTAACACTCGGAATTATGCACAAACCATCAAAATTTATTGTCTACGCATCAGTTCGTTTTAAACGAAAGCTTACAAAAAATTGCGTTGAAAATTTATTTAAACTAAAGATCATTTACAGTCAAATCTTTTTATTCATACAATCAATAGTGATGCATCAGTGTGTTAAAAATATAAGCTATTGCGAACTATAGAAGTTCAAAAAAAACAGCTTTAGGGCTCTTTATTGAAACCTCTGCACACAAGATTTAGAATTTTTTTTGAAAAATACTAGAAAAAAAGCTAGCAACGAATCTATTTATTTTGAAGAAACTAGACTAACAATGAGGGTTTCCATGATAAAAACAATTTCATGAGACAAGATAAAGTATTTTGTCGATAAATTTTTATCAACAGAATATTTCCTCGAAAGTTAATTATTGGTGTGAGTGTGGATGTCGGTGAGTTTCATCCTTCTATATATTCTACTCTGACAGCTAACTAAGGATATGAGCAAATCGATATATGATCAATTGCAAGATTAGAGCACATCTGTGGAATTAGTGTGATCCCGCATGATGTACATAAATCAACTGAAAAGTGATCACACTTGATGGTAGAATTGATCCTGGAAGCATTTGTGAAAGCAGTGAAGCAAAGTAGCAATTGGATTCTAAATAGTACAAAATACATAGAGATCAGATTTTCTATGGATCTATTGTTCTTCATACTCTCTCTTGTTGATAAAAAAGCATCAAAGTTTATCAAGAGAAATCAGGAATCTCGACTTTAGATTGGAACTTACACTCACTCAGCTATAGTGAGTTCTATTGAGAAGGACAGACGGGTAAGCTTTTACTGCTAATTATCAAGTTTATTCATAGAGAGAAAACACTCATACATGAATAAAAATAAATGTGGAAACCTCGGATTTAAATCCGAGAGTTATGTGTACTTCAAAAAGTGAATGAGACAGATCAGTCATCTTAGAATGTGTGGGCATAAAAATTATCCTGGTAAACCTTGCCTATAAACACATGATTTCTATTGACTATTGCTCAACCAATAGGATTTGGGGCGAATACAACTCAGATTTGAGCTCTTCACCTTGATTTACCCTAAGAAACTCGTTTTTCCTATAACTTGATTTCTATTGGTCATTGCTCAACCAATGAGATTTCGAGGCGAATGGAACACAGATTCGAGTTCTTCATTCCAGAAAACCTCGAACTATCATCTCTATGATCGGAAGATACAGCTCGAATTGTGAATCAATTAGAGCGTGGACAAAGAAAGAACCGAATTGTGTTTAATTATCTTTGCAATGGGTGAGTTTGCTTTCTTGTCTCCTTATGTTTTATATACCATTTTGTAGCTCGTGAAATTCTCTATCGAATGATATATAATAGTTGGGGTTTTATTTGACTATGATAGGAAAATCTTTTTACGAAAACAGAGAAGGGTCAATCTTCTCATAGGGAAGCCATAGGGAAAAATGACTATTTTTGCAATAACTCACGAATGACTCGCCCAATCATTCTCATCTTCGAACTCGACCGAGATATTGTTGAGACTAAACTGCGTAGAAAATTTCATTATGATCGGACTCTCCTTTCAAACGTTATCGTGTAAACGGACGGACAGTCGGCCGGCCGGACACAATGACCGATTCTAGAGTATACTCACTTTTTGAGTACACAAAAAAAAATTATTAAAAACAGAAATAATTTATTGAACTTCCGTCCATTTCTAACACATTTTGAAATGAAATTTATGCATGAAAACAATCTGTTACTTACATGTGAAATAAAACAGATACAGAATTACTATAATTAGCATATGCTTACTTGTATCCAATAGTTATCTTAATACGTTTTATACCTTTGATATAAATTAAAAACGTGTGCTTTCAGCAAGCGCCTAGAATTGGACTTATGGATGATAATATTCGTCTCTTCAATACTCGGCTTCGTAGGCAAATGTCGAAAACATCGAAGATACACCGATGAGATGTCATATATTGTTGTGTAATTCAATATAACCAACACAAACAAATATAATCTCAATATTGGTGGCCTTCGACATGTCTCGATCGACCCAATGCGTCGGTATTAATCGACGATAGCAGGGTTTCGTTATGATCGAAACACGCCGGAAGCCGGGTTTCTAACTCAAACATAAAAAGTTCGAGTCAATTCGAAGTACGAATGTTCATTGCATAAGCAAATCTATCACTAGTGATAGTACACGTTTCCAATCTATCATCGATTTGGTTTTGTAAGCCGTTGGGTGTGTGCCTTTGTGGCACAACACGCAGTTGATGATCAAAATTGAAACACACAAAGAAAAGACTGTCAAAACACGACTTTATATAACATGCGATAGTATTGCACAAGCAATTGTTAACATAGAAATTCGAGAAGGACAGAATGATAAAAAGAAATTACTATGTAAAATTTGATAATGGTGCAATTTATATTTTTCTTTTCTGTTCTAATGCGTCTGAGCTACAGTACTGGCTTAACAAGCTGTAACGAATTTGCTCATATGATAAGAATATGTTGAAAGAGAGACACATTCGTGCGCCCATTTAAGTAATAATAGTCTGATGTAAGAGTGAGTAACAAAAATTCCATTGGATCTGTCAACAATCCAGCAGCATCCGAGTATCTGAATTTCTTGTTATTCGTCTATGGAAAACCATTAGTGTTCTTCATCTACTAACTGCCCTTCTATTTTATATAATAGGGTATAAGCGTTAGTAATGCCAACAACATTTCAATTTATGCCGGACTGTGGGGTAGGATGGATATGAATACAATGAAGATCCATACCCACACCATTATTCAAACTGAATTTTATTTTCAACTTTTTACCTTGGTCAACTATTAACTTTGCTGATAGTCTTGATGTGCATGATCGAGAAACAGGTGCTGTTTATTGTTGAATCATGGTTTCTTTCCAAACACATGATTATCTTAATGTTGAAACAAAAGACAATCAATGAGATTGCATTTTTCCTTAAATGTCAATGAGTCATGTCGTTTTAATCAAATTGCATCAACTATGTGATGTCTTTCAAAAGTGTCTGATTTGAAAAAACATAAGTTTTTCTGAATGTATGTGTTTTCAGTCCTAAGTAAACACACTTCTACAGCACGTGAAATGTTGTTGCTAAAATGAAACACGTGGTACCTCTAACGAAGTTTTTAAAAATGTACAAAGTACAATAATTAGTATTCTTTAATCTTTTTCTCCTTTTAATTATAATAGTTGTTCTGCGGTTTACATACGAACAAATATTAAGGCTTATAGGTTAATAATTTGCAAAATTACTTTTTCGGTTCCGTTTTTGTTTGTAAAAAAAACAAATTTTTTATTATCTGTCTGATTCTTCAAACACATAAAATCGAAGAAATCGCTAAACTGAAATCAAAATAAATTTTTTTCTTGATCTATCACTTCCTTCAATCGACTTGATAATTTTCTTTCTAGTGTCCAGTGAAAAGCAGAAAAATAAACCGATCAGCACTGAATAATCTTTGCGTTGTTTTTCGTTGAACAAATCCTTTTAGTTCAATGTTTACAGAATCATTGGAACATACTATTGAAAAAACCTAATTTTAGTCATTAGCAAGAATACCAATATCGAAACTATCGTTCATATAAGACGAATTCAAACGCTAAGTTATGTTGTTGGATTTTATTTTATAATTAGAATGTGCAAGGCTAATGGAAATGATGTTCAGTATACGACAACTGTAGATAAAAATATTACACATGTCCTGCGAAAGCATTGTTTTAATCAGTTGTGCACAAAACTGAATTTTGAGAATTGTTAATTGGAATGATTTTGGTCCTTGAGACTTTACCATTGTTTGTAGCATATCCGATAGTGCAAATTCAATTCTAATTACTCGAACCTTTAAAATAATTTGAATTTTGATATTAACGCTTAAATTTTCCGATTGTATTTAGTTTCTGCTAAACTAATTTTTTTTCTTTCTATTGAATTATGATTCTATTGTTTTCAGAAGATGTTCATCAGTATTGATATGAGTTTGGTGTTCAAATATCATGGGAAGGGTTACTCACTTTGTTCACTCATACAGAAAGATTAAAGAAGAGTCCATTGATTTCTTTGATATAGTTGTAGAACTTAGGTATGACGTATATATATTTAAACTAAGTATACTTTTGAATATTTTGAGTATATTTTATATGTCATTAAGAGAATAGTTTTTGTTTCACATAACTTTTCGAATAATTAGTTTCATTAGAGTCCATGCAGCTTTTCTAAAAACACTTCCACCAATAAGAGTATTAACATAGAATGGCATTCCAATTGCAAAATAAGTAGAAATTAAAGCAACTTGATAGATAAAATCTTCAATTGTTATTTGTACTGCAGATTTTTGAATATTCATTGTTAATGTTGCATAAAGTTTTTGAATTGCAAGTGGTAGAGTAAATAAACCAAAAAAAATGACTTGGACATAAAGAATTACAAGTAAACGTTGATCTGTTTTCTTCGATCGTCTCTGAATGTTACCCGTCTTTCTCGAAAAACTCATAGTAGCTATAGTCATAGCTTCAACACGATTTCGAGTTTGACGCATATTTAAAATAGTCATCCAACCAAAAATTGAAATAAACATTAAAGGACAAAGAATAGCAATAATTGCAAATGTTAAATCATTAATTAATCGACATTCAACATTTCTTGTAAAACATTTTAAAGGTGTACCAATAAGATTAGCTTCATAACAATAAAAAAGTTGAGAATGTATAAGAATTGATACAATTGTAATAATAATGATGCCTCGTAATGAATTTTTTATTGAACTTATATGTCGACGATTAACATCAATACATGATAAAAGCCATCGATCAATAGTAGCAAACATAATCAACCAAAAAGTAATTGCTCGTGATGTAAATAAAATAAAACCACGAAGTTTACAAATCCAATTAACTGTTGCTGATAAATCAATTGTTACACCAGACAATACTCGAGAAGTAAGACCAGATAGTATTGCAATGATACCAACAGTTGAAGATCCAAGAAAGATTATTACACATGGATTTGAACGAAGAGATCGTTGAGATAATACCAGAATATTGAGAATATTACCAACAATACCAAAAATAAAAATAAACATACCAAAATAAAAATTGATTTGAGAAAGAAGACTTTTTAAATAAGCGATCAGTAGAATGTCAGACGATGATGTTGACATTATATTGATTTTTATATAGATCTTTTATTGGAAGGAACCGTAACAATGACAATGACAGACCCTGGATAACTCAAGTATGTGTCGATATAGAAAAAAATTTATGAATTACTCTTTCAACCTATTCATGAAAGTTTTTGTGATCTATGCTGGCGTCCCATTATTACTCCATGTATAATTATTGTTTATAGTATTATATGCTTTACTAATTATTCAATGATGAAATATTCATGCGTAAATAGATTCATAAAGATTGTATGACATAAAATTAGTGATGTCAGCAAAACAGGATTTTTGCTTCACCAACTCAACAACATTAGAATTAATAATGAAAATTTCTTTGCTACAGCCGTGAACAAAAGTGTCATAACTAGGTGAAAACGATCTAGCTAACTTTTATCAAAGCTGACATATAAGCTTAAGATAAAAGATTTTTTCATGTTGTATCATCTTGAGACGTTCGATGCACCTCTAGAAAGTGCGTTTCTTCTTCTCTTTTCAATTGAATATTCATTATAAACGGACGCGTTTCTATGTGAAGTTAGGAGACAATTTCTATTCACTCACCAAGTTGAACCATCATAAACTGTCCAGTATGTGCTTCGAATTTTAAGCTATGTTCAACCATTTGTCTTCAAAATCTGATCATTGAATGCTGTGTTCCACATTATTCTGCCTTACAATTTTCAGACGTATAGCTTTTGGAGCAATGTAGATTCATACCTATCTATACTGTAAGAATGATGTTCGATAGGAATCCTTAGATTACATCGTATTAGACTGTACTCTAAAGAAAAACAATATAACCTTTGCATATCACTGTTTTTGTCCATGAAATTAAAACAAGTTCCTTTTTCATTTTATTCAGCTAGAAGAAAACTCGATGAGTCTTATCAAATTGGAAACACTTTATTTTCTATAATTTCTCAAGCAAGAAACTCTTTTACTCTACTACTCAGACTTTATTGTGTTTCATTCAAGTTTCGAGCATTTTATAGTTCTTCATTGGATATAATAAGGGATGGATGTTTTATCATTTACAAAAGACTACGCATGATCATTGTCACTGTGTATGAATACGATAGCGCTATCTTTCCATCATCATATTCGATTTTTTTCTTCTCTATCGGTGGTATTTTTGTCTCGTTTCAGAAGTCAAAATAGTTTTTTTTTGTAAAACACGATCTAAAGTGAATGTTGAAGAATAAAGTGAGAAAAGTAAGCCATCCTCTTCTATCTAAAATCCGTGACAGTTAGTCCGAGATCCCACCATTAGGTGCACAGGATCTTTTTTGATATACAATAAAAGACCATACATCAATAATGTCTTATCATAATATATGAATTGCGCCCTGATTGCAGTTTTGGAGAAATAAGTAACAGAGTGATTTAGAAATGTGCCGTAAAATAGATAGATAAAAACAATCTTCCTGTGAATATCAAGAGCACCTAGATTGCGCGTTCCATATCTTAATCTCACAGATTTTGTACTAACTTCTTTTTCCACAGAATCGTGTTCAAGTTTTTTTTAATAATCAGTTTCGATTCCTAGACAGTTGAATCAGGTAGTTCTTTCATGATCACCCGATTACGAAATTCGTAAGATTGAAACAACAAATTTTTACGTTTTCAATATTCTTGTTTCAATCTATGAAACATTTTACATCAAACCTAACTCGATCGTCACCCTCGGTGAATTAGGTTCTATGGATAATAATCATGATCTAGGATTAAGATTGCTGTAATACAGTCGTTAAATGTTTTGTCATTAAGTTTTGTGTAAAATATTTAGATTTCTTGAGAAATTTCTTTAGAATCGAATAATTCAAACATAATAGAACTTGTTTTATTATAACACAAAACGTTAATAATATGATTTCGCGATTTATAACTGTAGTCAAAATGATTTAACATACATTTGAATATATCAATTATATTCATAGACTAGCGACATCCAAAAGAAAATCATGAACTTTAAAAACAAATATATTTATATATTAAATTATTGAAATAATGTGAAAAATGATTTAAGCAAAAAGAAACACCTTCACACTATGATTGGTTAAACTAGCAGCAAGTTGATAATGATAGATAGATATCGATCGATTATTCATTTCATGATGTACAGTCATTGATTGATTGTATTTTTCTAGTATTTGTTGACTCTTTCTTTCTTATCCGTTTGATCGAAGAATATCATCGTTAGTATTATCATCATAATTGTTATTTGTTGATCTATTAGATAAAACTATGGCTGCAATACGAAAAAAACTTGTTATTGTTGGCGATGGTGCTTGTGGTAAGAAATTATAAACAAAAAAAAAAAACAATACTTTCTATAAGCAAATCATTTTATTTCATTATAGGTAAAACATGCCTATTGATTGTATTTAGTAAAGATCAATTTCCAGAAGTTTATGTTCCAACTGTATTTGAAAATTATGTATCAGATATTGAAATTGATGGAAAGCAAGTTAGTTTTTTTTCTTCATCTACAAAAATCTATTATTCTGAGCATTTGTATTTGGTGATAATAGGTTGAATTAGCTTTATGGGATACAGCTGGACAAGAAGATTATGATCGATTACGACCACTTTCTTATCCAGATACAGATGTTATTCTTATGTGTTTTGCTATTGATAGTCCTGATAGTCTTGAAAATATTCCAGAAGTATGTTTTTTTTAAACGTTGTTAATTGATAGAAGAAAAAAAAAGACAATTATAAATTTCTTTGATAGAAATGGACACCTGAATGCAAACATTTTTGTCCAAATGTTCCAATCGTTCTCATAGGTTTGTAACATCATAAAAAATAATCAATTGTTAGTATTGAAGTAATTACGCTTCGAGTTATATATGAGTCTCGTTCGTTCAATGTAATGCACATTTCAAGTGTTACATAAAGATATTTGATTATTCAGAACGATCTTAAAAAAAAAAGGTAGCTTTTACCCAACGAAGTATTCTCTTTCTTCTTCGTTCCTATTTCCTATACAACAAGTCAGACTATTATATCAGCAAAATGTCTTTGGTCTCTCTTTCCCAGATTAACAAGAAAGAAAATCGGCAAAATCGATTGATTTAAGTATGTCACTTCCTGACGGGATCCGGACAGTTGCTCGCTATAGGACCCTATGTAACTGTTATAGCGAGCAACTGTCCTAAACCCTTCCTGACGGTAGTTCACAGGAATTCTTCCAGCAAATAGTTCATATCAAGAGAATGTCATTATCTCATTCCAAACTATGTATGAGAAAATTTTTTACTTAAATAAATATTCATAGGCTTAGTCCAGCTCATTGAGAACTCTCTAATGTTTAAATGAAATGAGATAAATTCGAAACTATATTTATCGCATCTTGTATAAAATATTTCCGATCACTAATTTCATTTCTAATATATACTTATACTAAGTATTCTATTTCGATTAGTTTTGTTTATTTTTCAGGTAATAAAAAAGATTTACGAAATGACGAAGCAACTAAAAGAGAATTAATAAAAATGAAACAAGAACCAGTTCGATCTGAAGAAGGTCGAGCTATGACAGAAAGAATTGGTGCTGTTGGTTATCTTGAATGTTCAGCTAAAACTAAAGAAGGTAATTATTTCTCTTATGATTTCATTCAATAAAAAACTAAATTCTGTTGTTTTTTTTTTTTGTTTAGGTGTTCGTGAAGTATTTGAATTCGCTGCACGTTCAGCATTAATGCGTAAACGAAAACGAAAAGGTGGTTGTTTATTATTCTAAACAAATCTAAAAATTGTTATTTTAATGTTTTTAATCGAGCAAATCGATCATTCTTTTCATCAAAATATTAGTCTACATTAAATAGAAAAAAAAAGAAAATATCGTTTTCTTCTTCTTCATCTGATTGATAATATGTTCATATTTGTTTTCTAAATTTATTCATACAGAGAAAGGAAAAAACAAAAGAAGAACAAAAACCATCAAGATTTTACATAAACATAAAGATGTGTTTTAATTAAATAAATGTTAATTTTTAAGTTTAATATGTTTTTTATTATTAATAATTTTTTCTTCAATATTTAAACGTTTAAGAATTGTTGCTAATTTTTGAACAATACTTTCTTTTATTTCTTTTGTACGTAAATTTTCTGTTTTAGGTAAAAAATTTTGAATTAATTCTGTAAATGTCATATATTGTTTTCGTAATAGTAAACTGCGAACTTTATCTTCAGTAATTGTTTCACTACAATATATATATAGATATTAAAAATAATTCAATAAAAACAAATAAACAAACCTTGGATTTGATGGTGTACTTGGTAATGACATAACTTTTGATTTTATTGCTCGCATTTCTTCTTCTCTTGCTTTCTTATGACCTTTTTCTTAAAAAAAGAAAAATTATCAAATTTTATCTTTTTTAAACGAGTGACAATATTTATTTTTACAATGATTTGATTTAAAAAAAAAAAGTGAAATTTTTTTGAGATGTATTTTCTCGTTCAAAACAATGTATCATATTCTCTTATTTGTATGTGATATATGAACAAAATTAAAGCATATCAGTTTTAGTCTAGCATAGAGTGAATACTTTCTTTTTTTTAGTCTATATAATAAAGATGAAACAACAATGTTATCTATAATAATGATTGAAGATTTGATTTATCTAACAGTTTCATCTCGAAACTGAATGTCGAAAAATTCATATGAAAAACAATTTATCACATAGTGACATTCCTTCATGTAAAACAAAGTCGATATAATAACATCGTTTCTTTATAACTTCAAAAAGATTTGTGATCCTTTCATTTTGTTACGATGTTAAAGTTCTATTAAATAGTTTTCTTTTTTTTTGACTTACCAGTTTTAATCTGTTCTGATGGATTTGGTTGAGTATTGATAGAACTCTAGATAAAAAAAGAAAAATATTATATTTGATATTCAAAAAAAAAAAAAAGAAAATTTTATTCTATAATACAGTTATTGGTTCGATTGGTTCTTTATCAGGATCATCTGAATCATCAAGATCATCATCATCTGAACTTGATTCTATTTCTAAAATAATTTTTTTTTGTATAAATTTTCTTTTTAATTCTAATTTAATTTGAATTCATACCTTTACTAACTGCATCACTTTTAAGTAATTTTCCAACATCAGAAAAATCATCAGCTGTTGTTTTACCATTTTCTTCATCATTTTCATCTAGAATACAAAAAAAAAACAATTAAATTATTCTTTATATATATAATTTTATTTTTAAAATTGAAACCTAAATCAGGAATATCTTCATCATCATCATCAAGATCAAGTTCATCTGCATTTTCATCCATTTGTTCAAGTTTTTTTTCTATATCTGGTATTGCTTTCATTTCTTCATCAACACCTATAAAAAAAACAAAAAAAAAATAAAAATATTTTCAAAATTTAATTTCAAAAAAAGAAGAATAACAAACCTTTAACTTCATATTTCGTTGATGTACTATCTGTATGACCACCTTAAAAAAAAAAATTTGACATAATATATAAAATATATTTATTACCTTTAACATCTTCTTCTTCTTCAGATGTTTCATCACTTGTATAATCAATTTCATCGGCTAAAAATAAAAAGGAATATATTTCTTTTTGAATCAAACAAAAATTTTTAATGATTCACTTTGCAATTATATTCCTGTACAGAAAGACAAAAGTTTGTAAGACATCAATTGATCATTGAAATGATCCTGCTCTTTTGTACATATGTTTCCTATTTATCGATGAGACACAGTTCTACTTTTTTGTATTCGAGAACAGAACAATAATATGCAACTTTTTTTTTGTTAATAAAATAACATTCATTATTTTTTTTAGATTATTTTTTTCTTTTTAAATTTTGTTTATTTAATAAGAGTAGTTTCTATCATCGATGAGAAACGATCTAGATTAAAATTTTTTGAGTACTTAGTTTTGAAGGAATTTGCTATTACTGTAAAAGATACTTTTATTTATACATTGAAAATATGTCAACAAAAATTTTCTTTTTTTATTTTTGATTATTCATTTGAAAAATGTTCTGAACACTAATAGATTTTATTTATATCAATAAAAAAGTTTAAGTCTCTAATCAACAAATATTAAAAAAAGCTATTATTAAAATATTAAGAGATTCATTATTTCTAATAACATCATTTATTATTGATATAAAGTCTAGTGGCGTAACCAAGGTAGGACCAGGGGGGCTCAGCCCTACCACCGGTGTTAGCATCGTCAGCTGAATCCTTTCACAAGCCCTACTACCCCACAGACCTCAGTAACCTGAGCCCTACCACCGGATATTTAAGCGTTGCTAAGCCCTACTATCGGCAAAACTCTGGTTACGCTACTAATAAAGTCGTCCATTTTTTTGTCTATTGAGATTTGATTCATATCTTAAAGAAGTTCCTTTCTCTCTTATTCGTCCTGGGAAATTATATTTGAAATGACATATAGATTTGAATTCTATATCAATAAATTTTTACCTTCATGATCACCATCATCTGAATCTTCTTGACGTTCACTTGTTTGACGTTCAATAATTTTTTTCTTTTTAGATTTTGTTTCTTTTGTTTCATCATCATCGTCATCACTTAATGTCCATGCATCTTTTGGTTTTTTACTAGTTTTTTTATTTGTTTTCGATTTTTTATTTGATTTATCATTATCATCATTATTATCTTCTCGTTCTTCATCATCATCTTCTTCTAAATATAAAATAAGAAACTAAATTTTTGTTTTTTTTATTATTATTAATTTTCAAATTATTTACCTTCTTCATTTTCATTAATCCAATCTTCTGTATCAAGTAATTTAAATGAACGTTTATTTTTATTTGTTGATTTTTTTTCTTTTTCATCATCATTTTCAATATTATCTTCATTATCTTTTTCTTTTGTAACTTGATGTTTTAAAAACCATTTACTTAAATGTTTATGTCGTTCTTGATATTGTTTTTCAGCTTCATCAAAATCAAGTGTTTTATAAACATTTGTTGGTGTAAATCCATACCAATCAACAACAGGATATGCTTCAAAACCATCTTTACCTTGTATAAATACATAATAAGATGAATTTGTTGTAACACCACCTTTTTTTAATCCACGATAATGTTTTAATTTTTTTTCTGTTGATGAACGATCCGTAAATATCCAAGGAAGATCTTCAATATTTGTACCTTTAGTTGCATAACGTTTTCGTTTTAATGCTTCTTTTTGTTCACGACCATATTCACTTCCTGCACCAGTTTTAGGTAAAACAATACCAAGTGATGTTGTAATTGATGATGAATTTGATGAAATATTAGGATCAATATTTGTTGCTGGACGATATGTATATGGATTTATTTCACGTCTCATTTCAATAGCTTTCCAATCTTTGACATCAACTGATAGACCACTTGCAAATTCCATAATACCATATTGAGCTCGAGTTCTACAAGAAGACAAAATTTCTATGAGTTCTAATGAAAATTTAATATTTCAATCTGTTATTTTTTTTATAGATTTTTTTTTTATGTTCAAAAACTTGATGATGAATATAAGATGACTTACTTAGGTACTTTAACAGAAAAATCTTTAGAAGTTGATGCAGCAGTTTGTGGTGATGTTGAAGCAGATGTTATTGTAGGTGATGTTGATATTGGAATTGATGTTACTTTCGGTGATGTAGATACTGTAGTTAAACTTGGTCGTAATATAGTTGTAGTTGGTTGTGTTGCAACAATAGGCATACGTGGTACTGATTGAGGAGTAAGAAGACGAGGTGATAGATTTGTATTTGTTGTTATTATTTGTTGTGGTGAAGTAGAAAAACGTTGTTGTTGTAAAGCAGGATAAACAGGTGATGAAGTAACAAGACGAGGTTGTGATGGAATTTGATAGAGTGTTGATTGTTGTTGAGGTATAGGTGGTTGCCGTACTGTTGAAATTTGATAAATTGGTTGTTGTTGAGTTTGTACTTGTTGACCACCAGTAGTAATAATCGTTGGTCGTACATTTAAATGAGTTATAGTTGATGGTTGAACAATGTAGACCGGTCGATTACTATTAGGTTGCATGTTTATTTATTTTTTTCAATCTTTACACGATTCTTGTCACTTTTGTCAATAAAAAGAAAATCATTTAAGTTGACGCTTGCTTTTATTCTGAATAATTCCCAATGAGTCATCTATTTTTCTTAAATTTTGATTGGTTACATAATATAAATGTATTGTCAAATAGCAAAAAACATTTTCAACAAAGAAGCATTATTTTTTAAATTTAACTTTTTTTGTTTCATTGAAAAAAAGATGAAATATTTTCATGAATAACAGAAAAATTTATAGCTTCACTTCGCTTATGTCATCATTACTATGTTATCTTTCTTACGAATCAATGAGAACGAGCCTATCGATCCAATATGTTGAGCAATGTTATATAGAAGCTGAATATGTTAAAATATAGATGTCATGTAAGAACTGTGCAATTTTTGATTGTCAGATTCTGGTTTGCACATGAGTTCCGGCAAAACATAATTATTTTACCATATACTCGACGAGTGCGAATATACACAGTAGTTGATGGTGATATACCTATCACTAATAAAACTACAGTTGTAAAATAATTCTAAAATTTGTTTTGATATTTTTTTCCATTGTACGAGTACTTAACAAATTATTTATTATTATCAGTTTTTACATACGAATTGTTATTTTTAATCATCAAAACAACTTTTATTTGTCTCTACGATATCATCTAAGAATTCAATTCATGGTTTTGGTTTTTTCTAATCAACTATGGCATAAAAAAATTAAATCTTTATGTGGTAACCATATACACTACATTTGATTATTGTTGTTGAACTTCATCTACAAAATTGAAGAATTTATTCAACGAACAAGTGATATTAAAGTCTTTTGAAACCATGTTTATAGCATTTATAGCTCAGGATCAATTAAATCGAAACCATCGTATATTGGTTATATGAATTTAGTGATTGCAACAGTTGATAGGTTCTAATTTTGTTTTTAATATTATGTCACTTCAAAAGAGTCCTTGGAGGATCACGATCCTGAATATTCATAGGAAAAGTCAAAAATATACGTGATAAATGTTGAGTTAAAATATTGCATGATACATATTCATTGTTAATACCATGAGAAACATATCTTTCTTTTTTTCTTCATTCATATATAAATTCTGTTTGTTTCTTAACGAATTATAGATTCATTTCTGTATATGTATCAGTGTTCTAATCAAATATTAACCTCTTTCAACTATGAATGTTATTAATAATCGTTCTAACATGACATCTATATTTATCAGACAATGTTAGTGGTGTACAAATTACACCAATTGTTTCCTTGTCAGTTCCGTCGTCGTTGTTATTGCATATCTGTGTCTTGTAGTTCAATGAAAATCATATATAAATAATGACGCGTACAAATAATAATTCTGAATATTCATCATCTCGTCGATCATCATCATCATCATCTAGTATAGCTCAATCATCTTCTATTGAAACGACAGATATAATTAGTCAAAATGAATTAAAAATTCAAAGACTCTTATTAGAATTACAAGATGATTTAAAAAAAACAAAAGAATGTTATAATACTAGTCGTGATGTATGGCTTTCTATTCAACAACAAAAAATACCAACATCATCAAATGAAAATACAAATTCTCAATCATTAAAAAATAATTTAACGGAAGCACTTACAAATGTTCACAATGAAATAGATATGTATCGAACAGCTTTAGAAAAAATAGCACAAGTTCGACAATTACAAATTGAAATTGCAAATGCTTCAAAAAATCATAATGATGCTAGTCGTAGTCATACAACACGACGAGGTTTAGCTGATCTTCTTTCACATATGGCTTATGCATTAAAAATTTGGTATGGAAATGAAGATAATGATCATGATACCAATAAAGTGAGTTTTAGCTAAAATTGTCATAGGTAATTTTACACTATGTGACAAACAAGAAAACCAAATTCTATTCGTTTTACTAGTCTAAAATTAATATACAAGATATTTGAAGTTAATTCATTCTTTAAGGTTTCGACGAACATCTATAATTGAAAATTTTCTTATTTTTACTAATTGACAATTCAAAAAAAAAGCAGTATGTAGTGGAAATTGACTAACTTTTTCCTAAGATATAGAAGTACATAAAGTTATTTTCAAAAAATAACAACTATACAATCTTAGCTGGGTTTAAAAATTTCTGCTCTCTCATTGTAACAGTCTGTTATAATACTTTTTTTTTTGAAGTTTAAAGAGTATTCTGTTTGAACGATTATGACCGCAATCAAGAACTATCATAAGTTATATTTGACGCTAGATAAGTTTTTGGAAATAATCGACACAGATGCAGAATTTTAATCCGTTGGAAATAAATTGTCATGTTGATAAAAATTAAAAACCTATAATTAAATGTTTTTTTAGGATTTAAATTCACAACTCATGACAGAAAACAAAGACTTTCAGTTAGTTTAAATCTGTAGTATTAGAAATTCAACAGACTATAATATATATAAACATGTATATATCATTATCTAATTATTATTTTATTTTTACATTTAGAGAGATATTTCACCACCACCACTTTGTGGTGCCATACCTGCTGCATCAAATCATGTATGTCATGTTGGTGATCGTATAGCAGGTTTTGTTGAAAGTGATGATGGTGATGAAAATTGGATATTAGCTGAAGTAGCTAGTATACATGGAAATAAAACAAAATATGATATTGTTGATATTGATGCTGAACCAGACAAAGGACATTATTATAATATAAGTAAACGACATATTATACCATTACCACAATGGCGTGCTTGTCCATTAACATGTCCACAAGCATTATTTCCACCACGTACTATTGTACTTGCACTTTATCCTCAAACATCATGTTTTTATAAAGGTGTTGTTGAAAGTATACCAAGAGTTGGTAAAGATTGTTATAGTATTATATTTGAAGATTCATCTTATAATAGTGGTTATTCACCGGAGTTTGATGTACCACAAATGTTTGTTGTTGCATATAAAGATGTAAAAAAATGAATATATTAATTTCATTTTATTTTTTTTCTCTTGTTTATTTGTATAAAAATATTCAAAAAAACAAACGTCTAATACAGCTAGAGTAAATAAAAATTTTTTAATATTAATGTTTTTTGAATTTAAGTAATGAAATACAAAATTTTAAAATTTTCCGAATTCGACTTGTAGTTTTCATTGTAAAATTATAGGTGACTCAAAAATACGTTTATTGATTTCAATTACGAGAAAAAGAGTTCGTATAAACATGAAGTAGACACAATCGAAATAAGACATCTAATTTAACCACATTTAGAATTTTATTCATTGAAATAAGATGAACAAATAAATTTAAATTTCTTTTTTTCATATCTCTATTAGAATATATATATATATGTAAACAATATAATTATAATTTTAGATTAAAACATAAAATAGTCAAACATGTATTCTGTACCACCTCGAAAACCTCGTGCACTTATGCGTGAACGGTAAGATTTTATCTATATATTGAATTCATTACAAAAGATTTCAAAGTTTTACAAAATATATGAAAAAAGTACTTCCTCAAATATTTAAAGTTACATTTTGTTCAATTTATGAATTACTTACATCCTGTAAGAAATATATAAAAAAAGAAAGGAAATGAATGTTTCCTCTTATGGCGAAGTGATTTCATTAGATTTAAAAAAAAAAACAAAATTAATTAATTAGTTTTTAATTCTAATTATTTATTTTAATGTTTCTAGTGTTGAACAAGAAAGTGTCAATGCTCAATGTCAAAAATGTTTAGAAAAAGGTCATTGGACATATGAATGTACACGTAAAAGAAAATATGTTGAAAGACCATCACGTACACAGTTACTTGAAAAACGTATAAAACAATTAAAAAAAAATCAAGAAGGTGAAGACAAAAATATTAATGAAACGAAAAAAAAGTATGTATTTATTTTTAATTCATATTTTTCTTATCATTTTATTTTGTTTCAGACAAATGATGGATCAATTACAAACAATTAAATTTGATAAAAATAAAAGTACTAATGATAATGATGATGATGGAAATTCATCTGATTCAAGTTCATCATCATCATCATCATCATCATCATCATCTAGCGAATCTTCAACAAGCAGCAATAGTAGTAGCAGCAGCAGCAGCAGCAGTAGTAGTAGTAATTCTAGTGATGATAAAAGTGCACCATCATCAGATACTGATCATGAATCACCAAAAAAGAAAATAAAAAATTAAATTTTGTTTCTTTTTTTTTTGTATTATTTTCACTCTATTGTGTTATTCGAGTGTACATCATATTGTAATAAACTTTTTTTTTTCTTGCTCATATGTTTATGAAATATGTAATAGTAGCATTTATTATGTGTAACAAAAAGAAAGCTGCAAAACGAGGAAAAAAAAACTAATTGAACTTGTTTCTATATGCACGAGCAATGATTCATGCCAAAGTAGAATTCAGCACTACAGATAAGTAGAAGTACAGAGTGCATAGTTTTCAAAAACAGAGAACATTGTGTGAACGAATTTCAAAAACAATGAATAAAAAAATATCAAGTGCACTTGGGTTCATGTGTATTTCAACATCATGGGAATGAGCATGTAGAACAGAATTTTTTTGTTAGTTTGTCTAAATTTAAGAGCTTTTTTTTCTTCTTTGCGGTTGACATTATTCTTTCTCGAACACATTATGTTTTTTTTTTTCTCCTTTGTATATGTTTGATTATATCGTATGGGTAAAATCGACTCGGCGCGTTTGGTTAATATGGCCATCAAATTTTCCTTTCTGTTCTGTTAACGTTACTTGACGAGATGAAGAAGAAGAGTAAGATGCAAAACAGGCGACGAGGTTTTTTTTTTTTTTGCTCTTCGCAACTTGCAGTTAGCAACTTATACGTACTAAATAACAAGTAGTGTATAGATATATATATTTATTAACTTTCATATCATTTTTTTTTTGCTTTGCTTTTGATTTGTTAGCTTAGCGCATGTTAATTTTGACAATAACTTACCTTGGCCTAATCATAGCTTAGAGAAAGGAAAAAAACACATAAATTTATTATATTTCATTTTTTTTCTCTCTTGTCATTAGTATTACACACGTTTAAGAAAGAATATTATGAACTACTCGAAATTTGCTCAGGTGAGAATTGATTGTTGTGCCGTATTTAGTAAAACAGCTGTAGCATATTTGTTCTTTATGCCATTTATTGAAGTTAATCGATATTTAATTATGAAATTATGATTCATTATCTCTATTTGATATTATAGCAAAGAAATTTGTTTTTTTATTAAGTTGATATTTTATGCCATAAATACGCATGATGAAAAGGTTAAAGCAGCAAAATATACAGTGGTGTGTTTAGAAATCGTTCGATTTTTGTTATTGAAAAGATGAAATTTTTTAGAACTAATTTTTTAATTATCTTTTTTTTCGTTCAGATTGTACCTGAAGTTGCAAAACTATCTGACCAACCCGATAAATTAAAAATGGTCACTCGATTATCGACATTGTCAGGTATAAAATTTTATTACTTTGATTTTTTTTTTGTTTTTTTTTTCTCGATAAATAAAATTATGAAGACTTATGAAATATGAGTGATGACGATAGTTATAGTAAGATTAAAAAATAATAATTTATTATTCTAGCTGACAAATCTGCATCAAAAATTCAAGCTGCATTTCGTAATCATCAAGCTCGTCTTAAATTAAAAAAACAAGCAGCATGGCAAATACATGAAAAACTTGAATATTCTAGTGAACAAACTG